GCCCCCCTCCTTAGCTTTCTTGCGTTACTCCTCTCTCTCTCTTACATTCTGTGCTCCCGCATACTTGTGTTAGGAAGTCCAAGTTCACCCTCAGACTCGATAATTACTAGGATTCAAAAGACTCAGAAAAGATAGTATACTCATGGTTATAGCATATTACAGTGAAAGGATACAGATTAGAGTCAACAGTGGGAAAAGGCTTACGGGGGCAAAGTCAAGGAGAAACCAAGTAAGCAACTAAATGTCCACTTCTAGTGGAGTCACGTGGGGATGGGCGTAAATCCCCCAACAACGAGGCGTAACAACACGTGAAGAGTAGCCAACCAGGAAAGCTTACCAAGCTCACCCATGCCTGGTGTCCAGGGATTTTTTTTTTATGGGATCAGTTATGTAGGCTAGCAGTGATTGACTTTAGCTACTCTGACCTCTGCCTCCCAGAGCAAAAACTGGTATTCACATAAATCACATTGTTAGGATAAACTCACATGGTCACACTGGTGCAGTATGGCCAAGGCCTCAGGCATTCAACAAAACACACTGAGCAGGTAGAATATTCCAGAGGCTCAGAGGTTATCTCCTGCGAGGTGGTGGCCAAGACCCAGGCGTACCGAATTAATCCTTTCCTGCACAAGGCTGCATTTCTTTTAATTCCTTGAAGGATGCTCATGTTCTTTCTCTTTATTAAGCTGTCACATGAATTTTTTATTTTGCCTGGGATATTCTCCCTTTGTAATGGTACACTCCTTAAAGCCCATTGTGTCCTTAAATAAATAGATACTTTTTGTGTGCTTCTACTGTACTTCTGTCCCATTTGCATCACTTAATACATGGCAGTCTCCATGATAGCAGGCATTCACGGCATGTAGATTGCATAGGGAAAACCAGAAAGGCAGATTAGGAGAAAAATGAAGAGATCAAGGGACAAGGGTCTCAGCCAACTGGAAGAACTGGTGCATTGGGAATAAAGTTAGGAAATTGCTGTCAGAAAGCTGGTTAGTAGTGTTTTAAGGTTTTAGAATTCCAGATGAAACTCTTACGGTTCCAGAAAAATCTCTGATACATAAAAACATTCTTAACAGCTCCTCTTATGATGACTGTGGTTTTCTATCTTCTTGATTCTGATCCTAGTATCAGGGCCAGCCTGCCTCAAAACAGTGGCTGCTTGCTCTGTTTTCTCCCTGTGGTGATCTATTAATATGTCCTGTCACAAATAATGCCTCACAAGGCCTGGCATATAGTAAGTACTCTGTGAATGTCAGCCAGTTGTAATTATTATTATAATAATAATATGCCTCATTTCCAAACTGGGCTGTATAGAAGCAGGGTAGGAATTTATGAGAAAAGAAGTTATTGCCTAAAATTTAGAGTTGGTTGAAAGAAATCATTGAGGTTATTGGGATAGTAGATCCTTGGCCCCAGGGCTTTTCTTGCTTTGCATTGGGCAAAGCAGAAGTAGGTCAAGGGAGCTTGATGGCAGCATTAGGCTCAGCAGTGAGCCTGTTTCTCAGGCAACCACTGCTTATTTCTCTATCCTTAGGAAGAGATATTGCTGTATCCAAATCAGCCTAGATTTTAGAATTATAACTGATGGAGGGTGAAAAGCTTTGTTGCTAATCTTTAAAAATATGTTAATAATATTAAAATAATATTAAAATACCTAAAATTTTAGAAATTAATGAACATTTTCCTTTTGTTTAAAAAGTAAAAATACTGGTTTGTTCCCTAACATGTTACTATATGTCTGACCAGAAATGTTTTCTTCTGAAGGTCAGTAATTTCCTTTTTTGCTTAATTTGATGAAGAGTCTCAAAATTTATCTTTCCATACTTCTGCAGCATTTGACAGTGTTAAAGTCTTTCTTAGGTTCTCTGAACCTTCAGTCTCCTCGTTTTTCTTCCTGTTTGGTCACTCCTTTTCACTTACTTGGGCTCTTGTTCTTTTAAATCTGTGCTTCTACAGACTATCCCAAGCCAAGCTCTTCTCTTCATACTGTTCATTCTCCCTGGGATATCTTACCTACTTAAGTGACTTGGAT